ATGTAGACGCCTCCTCGCTGCTCCTACCACGCACGCCCACCAACGTCCGCCATGCCAACCACAACTTCTGCCCGACGCCCAAGTCCAGCGTGCCAGGCCGCAAGTTCGACCATGCTCGCGAGGGCGCCCCCGTGACCCTCTCGACGCCCGTCAGTGACAGCGCACCCAAGTGGAAGCAGTTCACCCAGGCCTCCAACCACGACCGCCCCATCTCCTCGCGCGGCCAGATCGTCGACGATGACTGGCTCAAGGAGAACATGCCCGATCTCGAGCAGAAGTGGGAGCCCATCGACAACGGCCTCGGCGACGAGCACATCAAGGGCTTCTGGCTCTTCACCTCGGAGAAGAGGAAGCGCCGCCTGATGCGCTTCCACAACACCATCATGAACCACCCCATGGTCCCCGCCTTGGTCCGCGCCATTGTCCTCGTCTTCTCCATCCTCGCCCTCTCCCTCGCCTGCTCCATCTACCGCCACTCGGACAACAACGGCTGCAGCAACAACTCCTCTACCTGGATGGCCATACTCGTCGACATCGTAGCCGTCCTATACACCATCTACATCACGTACGACGAATACACATCCAAGCCCCTCGGCCTACGCTCGCCCAATGCCAAAATGTCGCTGATCTTTCTCGATCTGGCCTTCATCGTCTTCGAGTCGGCGAACCTTAGTTTGGCTTTCCAGGCCCTGACGGACGACAAATGGGCTTGCGTTGAATCAGACCGGACAAATGCGTGTCCGTACCGACAGAGCATCTGTGAGAGGCAGAAGGGCTTGACAGCGACACTGTTGATTGCATTGCTTGCATGGATTGCCACCTTTTCCATCAGCACGCTGAGGTAAGCCTCCCCCGACGATGACATGGCCTGTTCTTTACTAACACCTCACAGGTTGATCCACCGTGTAGCGAGGTAGTGCCTCAAACACCTCCATACATTCTCCCACGCTCCCTCGGCCCTTCCACCACGCCACCTATATCCCCACACTACATTCCGACCCTTCAGCTTGACTGATCCACCTTTTGCATAGTACCAAGGAGCACGACCACCTCTTACACATGTCGGCCTTGTCCCCCCGGCGGCGATACCCTCTCCATTCGCACTCTCTCCGTTTTCCTAGTCGACTCCGTTCTCGCACCCCCTCCGTTAGGTCCTTTTACTCTTGAAAGCTATGCATAGCTGCGGCGTTTTGGGTTTCCTTGTCCCTGCATTTTCCCTCAATCGACGATTTCCCCAAACCAGTTGTTTTGTCTCTTTTTTTCTATACACTTTGGGGCTTTCTTCGTGTGTCACTTTTACGTTGACTGGGTGTACATAGGGTGTTGTTTTGAGGACTTGGGACGGCCTAGAGGCAATAGCATAGTACAGAGTGATTAGTATAATCCACAAAATCAATGAAACAGGTCAAACACTCATTTGCAGAAGATATTGTATTTGTGATGGAAGAATGTCTCTCCTACCTGATGTACCAGCTCTCATATACTGAAGCCTGGATCTTCCTCCCTAACCATGCATGCTCCAAGCACCATCGCAATCTAAGCAGAATGCACGAAATGTCCAATTCCCAGTTCAGCAACCCCATCCATCCGCCCATAACTCCATGCCTTAGCACCCTCACATACAGCTAAACCCCCCATCAACCGGCAGCCCAATACCCGTGACCCACGCCGCGTCCTCACTAGCCAAGAACACCGCCGCCCTCGCAATATCCTGCGGCGTACCCAGTCCACCAAACGGATGTCTCGTCTCGACCTCTTTCTTCGAATCTGCGGCTTCGGGTGTGAGTAGCGAAGAGATGAAGGCCGTGGCCGTGTAACCGGGACAGAGAGCGTTGACATGGATACGGTAGGGCGCGCAGTCCAGCGCAGCAGCCTTTGTGAGGCCCATGACGGCGTGTTTGGAGGCCGCGTAGCCCGCTATTCACACTGATTAGCTTTCCGTGTACTCATAGCCTCAACATCGCATGTTCAACAAGGACGAAAATGGAACGAAAAGAACTTACAAATCCCCGACGTCCCCCTCAACCCATAAACACTACTCAGATTAATAATCCAGCCTCTATCCCCCCTCTCCCCCGGTTCCTGCCCCACCATCTGCCTACTCGCGTACTTCGTCCCGAGGAAAACCCCCTTGATATTAACATCGACCGTGCGCTCAAAAGCCGCTTCTTCGTATTCCCACACAGGCCGACTGCCATGCTCACCCGTCTCCACGCTAATCCCCGCGTTGTTAACCATAATGTCGATTCTGCCGTACTCTTGCACTGCGGTCTGGATCAGGGCTTGGATGTCGGTCGAGGAGGTGGTGTCGCATTTTACGAAGAGGGCTTTTGCGCCGAGGGCGTGGGCGGCGGCGACGGTGGTGGTGCTGGGGGAGGTGTCTGTGGCGTATTCTGAACGCGGCGTTTCGGTGATGTCGGAGCAGATTAGGGAGGCGCCTTCTGAGGCGAAGGCTAGGGCTGTGGCCCGGCCGATGCCTGAGGAGGAGCCGGTTATTACGGCGGTTTTATTTTGTAGACGGGGTGGCATTGTGGAGAGTGTGGTGGTAGATGTGTTTGAAGTTGGGGTGAGGTTGGTAGGTGAAGATGATTTTGGTTATCTGTGTTTGCTGTGGGATAGACCGTTGTGTTGTAGGAAGAGGAATAGACGTGAAGTAGACAGGAAGAAGAAGAGAAAGAAGAATAACGACAAGTAGAAGTAAAGTCAAAGTGACAGCAAGACAAGTACATATACTAGACTGCCAAAGTGACCATCAAGCGAACGGGCGTATCTAGTGAGGGGTTAACTAATGCGGAGAAAGTACATCCTCGGCCATTGAATCAGATCAGGCAGACATGCTGCTCGAAATTCCTTCACTGGTGGGTCTCGATGGAATTTGATTGAGGAGAGACACCTGAATCAGCGTCGATTGTAGTCTAGGGCGTAAAGTGACAGCTCAATCCATTCCGCGCAAAGGTCGCGTATGAAGTAGCGCGGAATGTGGCGTTTGCTATTGGGCTGATATGCTCCATGTAAGGGTTGAGTATTTGTCCGTCTGATGGATCCAGAGAAGTGGATCTTTGTATTATGCATGTACGCATGCGCATGTATCCGTAAGTAGCAAATGGCATGAGGTTGGCTCTTTCGCCAGCACTGGTAGTTGCCGAGGTCCTAGACTGGGGTAGGCAAGGCAGAATACGACTCAGGATAGGCCAGAGGTCTAGATTGAGTGCTGCAAGGGATCATACTAGCGGTGTATATGGCGTTGTAGAGCTGACGGAAGCTGGCATGCAGCAATGGATGGTGGGGTCGTGGGGTAATCCGGAAAGCGCGTTGCCCGACAGGGATCACCCGAGTAGCCTCACATGCACGTCATAATGTAGATTTGCTTCACGCGACAACACAGCATTTTCGCAACCCGATTTTCTATACATCTTAACTTGGAAACACACGGATATCCGATACAAGATGTCAACACAACCCAGCAAAGATGAGCCTTTCCCCTGGCACCTCGGAGTCTACGACGCACACTGCCACCCCACAGACACCATGTCGAGCATCGAAACCATCCAAAACATGAAAGCGCGCATCCTCACCGTCATGGCAACGAGAGCCGAAGACCAAAAACTCGTCTTAGCCACCGCAAACAAGCACAGCATCCGATCGGCCAACCCATCCCAATGGACAAAAGAAGAATGCATCGTCCCCTGCTTCGGCTGGCATCCTTGGTTCTCTTATCAAATGTACATCACCGAGCCCGACTTCAAAGGCGAAGACGAACAACAAGACCAAGGTCGCCTAACCGGCCAAGCCAAGATCACGCACTACCAATCCGTCCTACAACCCCACCGCGCAGACCCCAGCCCCTCAGACCTCCAAACCTACGCCTCCCTCCCCGACCCCACACCCTTCTCCACCTTCCTCGCCCTCACGCGCCAACACCTCCTCCAACACCCCTTCGCGCTAATCGGCGAAATCGGACTCGACCGCTCCTTCCGCATCCCAGAGTCCTGGACCGGCAACCCCGATCTCTGGGCAAAGCGCAACAGTAATCTCACGCCGGGTGGCCGCGAAGGAAGGCGGCTGACGCCTTTCCGATGTAGTCCTGCGCACCAGAAGAGCATTTTTAGGAAACAGCTTGATCTTGCGGCGGAGATGGGCAGGGCGGTTAGTGTGCATGGGGTGCAGGCTCATGGGCTGGTGTTGGAGGTGCTGGCTGAGACGTGGAAGGGGTGCGAGAGGCTGGTTTTGAGTAAGAGGGAGAGGAAGAAGAGGGGGAGGGATCATCCGGGGGCGGAGGCGGCGTTGGAGGCTGATGAGATGGGTGATGGCGATGGTGGTTCTGCTGCAAAAGACGACAGCCCGAAACCATACCCACCGCGCATCTGTCTGCATTCATATTCTGGTTCTCCGTCGAATTTCGCGCAGTACTTGCGTCCGGAGATTCCTTGTAAGATCTTTGCTTCGTTTAGTACGGCGATTAACCTGTCGGATGCGTTGGATGATGAAGAGACACCACAGGCTTTTCAGGATATTATTAAGATGGTGCCGGATGATATGTTGTTGGTGGAGAGTGACCTGCATACTGCGGGGGATGAGATGGATAGGAGGTTGGAAGATATCATACGGAGGATATGTGGGATCAAAGGATGGGGGTTGGAGGAGGGTGTAAAGAGGCTGGGTAGCAATTGGAAGGCCTTTGTTTTCGGTGAGGTCTGATGTGCTTCAATACATCTTTGAGTGCTGTATAGATTTCCATGAGGTGGCGGGGAGATATTCAGTCAGGTCTGCAGTCATGGCCGTTGAGGTCATGAGATACTGAAGTACACCTGGCCTGTTCATCAGGGTTCTGTACAAACTCTGTTGATGTGATGTAGCCATTATAGATCACTCAAAATTCAGATGTTTTGGGCAAATTTCATCATATTTTGCCATCGAGACCAGCTATTAGGTAGATCTAGCAGTCATATCCGTATCATCTCAACCCATTACACACCAGTATCATCCAGTCTCATCTCAAATCAGACCAACTTCAACTCCTTATGCATCTCGAAGACCTGAGCCTGAGTGCCAGACAGTGCCATGGCAGCGAACAGATCCTGCTCAAAGCCAGCCTGAGGGCCAGCATCGTCCTCCTCCATCTCTTCACCGTACTCGTCTATCCACATCGTGACCCGCTTGTGTACCTCATCGTACTTCCAATCACCATAGTATATCTCGTTGACTGGAGTCCATGGATGGTACGACGACATCTTCGCCAAAGCCTCCGGCCCGGCCCAACCAGGGATATGCTCGCCGGGGTACAGCTTGCGAACCTGAATCGTCCTCAAGTTGGGAAGCTTGGCGAGTACAAGGCCTGTTCAGAATTTAGCTGTATTGTTCTTGCGCAGTCGGGGTACAGTTTGCAGCATGTTAGATGGGAAGAGACTTACTGAGCATGGTACGGTATGCGCCAGTGTGACAGAATGACTCGTTGATCCGGCTCCAGTGTTTGTGCTCATCATTGGCGAACTCCAAGATCTCTTCATCCTCATACAACTGGTCTTCGGTCGGCTCTGGCATGCCGGGGAACTTGAGAATGTGGAGATTTTCCCAAGAGTAGTTGTAGCCGAGCTCCGGGGTTGTCGGTCCCTCGCCAACCAAGGTGATTGTTCGAACCGTCCCAGGATACGCACCATCCAACCCAAGCCCAATCAAGAACGCTGAAACGCTTGCAAACGTAGGAAAGATAACGATGTTCTCAGTAACAAAAATCTTCTTACCGTATGGGAATGCCACAGCCTCCTTCATGCGCTTGTTGACAAGACGCATCTCGTTGAGGTCCGTGACGCTGAGATGAAGACCGATCTCGCCAAACACCTCAAAGGGGAGGCTCAAGACACCCTAAATTCGTGGTGAATTCATATTCATCGAATAAACGAGGAAGGTTACGAATGGATGAACAAGAAAAGAGAAATGAAGATGGTAGGAGAAGGAAAAGAAGATGAAGAAAGAACTGATGAACTTACTTCGGTAGCAGCGGCAGCATCAGCGGTATTCGCGGCCTTTTCATCATTGGAGGGGAGCGACATGGTAGCAAGCCAAGTGCAAGGGTTGATGCCGAGGTCTGTACATGTCAGCATACGTCGGGGGCATCTGAGATGTAAGAGATCTGACGATCAATGGACAATCCGTGCTTCTTGAGTTCCTTCCCGAAACTCTCAATGAAAGCTGAAGCTGTTAGCATAACCTGAAGACTGTTGAATATGACTTGGACTTGCCTTTGAGCTGGCTGGCGAAGAGCGCTGCTACAGCCTCTTTGGCCTTCCTGGCGATGATGGCTTCGACTCTAGCGGCTTGCGCAGCTCTGCCGGCTACTAGATCTGCGTCGTGCGCAACTCTAGCAGTATCGGTAGCGGCTTGTACGGCCAATACTAGGTTACCGAGCTCGGAAGCGAACGAATCAACGTCGGGAAGGGGAGCATCTGAGGCGCTGGGAAGCTGGACCGCCGACGTTACGTCGTTGTTCGCGGGGACAGATGGCGCGCCGCCTCCGAACAAAGATGTTGTTGTGCCGGACATTGTGAGGCAAGGTATCTCAAGGTATGGGTAGGATCAAGGAAGGTGGAAGCTGTCAAAGGCAAAGCTTTGATCAAAGTAGACGAAGTGTCAACTCAAGAGTGGGGTGGGGTGAGGAGGTAGAGGGAGATGCGGGCAGCAAGCCTTTATATAGCAGAGATTTGTGCAGCTTAAGCTCGGGCCCAAGACGCGTCTCGCGTGCTCCAGGCAGCTTTGTTGACACCGGTGAACGTGAGAGGCGTTTATCAAAACAAGAGACGCGTGGTGAGGAGCGGGAGCGCGGGCGGTGAACGCAGTCCAGAGGCCGAATCGGGGTTCACCGGGAGCGAGAGGACGGGTATTTTAGCAAGCGAGAACATCAAAAGCCTCGCAGAATGCATCGGTAGCTGCTGGCGTTTGGACATAATGTCGGCGTTGCCCAAACACCCGGTGGCGTTGCCATGGTTTTGGAGGGAAGTGAGACGGTGAGCAATATTATCGCTTGTGCCAATTGCGACACGACCGTGGAAAGAAAAGGTTGCATCGAGTACCGCACTTGCACTCGAGCGCATCGCGATCTTGATTCGTTACCGCCGTGGCACAGAAGGTCGAAGTGGCTACCGAAGCCGGAGCAAGAACAAACACACACACCGTATATCCTCAACGAACATCCTCCGACTGTAAGCCATTAAGACGGTCCAAATGATAAGAACGCTTGAACATGAACAGTCGAGAATGTCAGTCTCCTTCGGCAGCCAGCAAAAGAAGCACAACATCTGATGATTGAAGGAAAGAAGAGGAAGAATTCGTAAAGTAAAGAAACCACACGCGAAACCAGAATGAGACGCAAGAGTCGCACCTATCTTTGCGACACGCGATACTGGGCCAAACTACATGTTAGTCTTCAACACTCACACCCGTGCCTGCCCGGAGGATCAACTGTTTCATAGACCCAGCTTCGGGTACAATGCACGTGATAGAGGCGACGCCGAGATGAGATATCAGGAGATAAAAAGGTCATATGCAGTTGCTGACGTGACGCGACGAATTCGAAGTGCGGAAGGAGAAAGAGTGATAACTGTCAGACGTCTGATGAGGCGCGAGACGGCCAAGACGCTAATGACTAAACTGCCATTCTGCGACCACATTGAGCAGGCGCGACAGATACACCAGAACAAGTGGGATACCATATATTTACTTCGACGAAACGTACGCTATAGATCGCTGCATCAAATTGCCGCTCTTATAACTGTGCGAACACTATTCGTCTTAGAACTCGCCACGAATAATCCCATTCATTCCTTCCCAACACCCTCCTTGTCTTTCTCCGCATCAAAGAACAAGCTTCTCCTCTTGACATCCGGCGGCGGCGGACTAGCCGGTGTATCACCAACGATCGCCTCCTTATCTCTCTTGAAGTCCTCCGCTCTCTTGAGATCACCCGGCGGAGGCGAAGATACGGGTGTCTTTGTCCCCCATCCTTTCCTCTTCTCGCTCGCCCAGGTGCCCCAGCTGGAGAAGTATGCGCCCGCGCTGGCTTTTGCGTTCGTGAGGTCGGGGGCTTGAGGAGCTTTCCCTGTTCAATTATCAGCATTGGTGTTCTAGTAAAAGCGGCATGTCTGACTTACACTTCTTTGCATCATCGACGGGCCTCCCTTCTTTCTCAGCTTGCAATCGCGCCTCCTCGGCCCTCTTCCTCTGTGCCTCGCGCATGGCTTCCATCTCCGCCCACAGGCGGTTGTATGCAGAGCTGACCTTTTGTTGCCCCACAGCAAGCTGTTTACCCAAGACTTCTCGTGACTTTTCTAGTCGTTCGTCGAGATGCATTTCTGCTACCTGCCTAATCGCCAAGCGAGCATCAGCACACATACGCCAAGAGATACGGCTTGGAAGGTTGTGTTGGAGAACAGACTAAGTGAGTGCTTTAGTCGGGCTTGTGGGGATATGGAAAGAATGCAGGAACGTACTGTGCTAGTCGGCGTTGAACGTCTTCCATTGAGAGACCGCCAGAGCAGGGGTGTTTGGGATCAACGATGTCGAAAAGGTGAGAATCGGTAAACTTGTTCCAGATGCGGAAGTTCTCAGTCTGCATCCAGGCGTGTACCCACTCATTTGAGAACTCGCTCGCTGGGTCTCCTTCTACTTCAGAAATCAAGTTCTCCTTGTGTGCGTTCTTTTCCATGTAAAGCTTGTACTTGACGGAGCTGAGCATTGCGAGCAGGTACTCTTCGAATTGCATGCGAATGAACTCCTCGCTGCCGGCGTATCCGTGATCCTTGGGCCGCGCTGGATCTGCCTCATCCCAGGTATCGTTGATCGTCTGTGTCAAGAAGTCCATCCATCTCCGGTCCGGCGTCGACAAGATCGATGCTTGTCGGAGTGCAGCTGAGGTGATGTTTACGGTGTGGTCATCGAGGTTGATGAGGATATCGCTGTATCGATCTCTTTGCTGAAGCAGCAGCGAGTTCGTAGAGCCGACGATGTAGGACTTGGTATCTTGGTCTGCAAGTATATCAAGCTGCTGAAGCGGTGTGTATGGTCCAAACAGCGAGCCTGTACCGAAGAGTTGGAGCGGGAGACCCATGTATGCCAACACTGAATCTTGTCAGTATATTGCTTCTATTGGTGAGAACATGCACTGACAGGAAGCGCGCTCCGATGTCTTTAATGAAGTGGGCATGACACACTTTTCCTCACACGAATTGAACTTAGGGTCAGCAGCATCTTGTAGGTGGCGAATAAGGCCGGGTATCAGTGAAATAAGAGCAAATTGCATCATGCATAATCGTTCGCAATGGGAGCCGAAGAAGAGGACCTGCACTCCGTCAGTAACCTTGTATGCTCGTGCCACAATGTGTCGGCTTCAAGAGCTTGAAACATACCTTCGGTTGAAGTAGCGCGCATTTGAATAGAACCAAAGTCTGCCATTTGAACTCGTGGATTAACTCGCGCAGAGAAATACCGAAGTAATGGTCCTGCTGCCCCTCCTGATTCTTAAGCAGTTGGGGTAGACTTTCCGTAAAGCGCTCCAATATTTCGATATCGGTGAAGTCTCTGAAGAAGTGTGAGTTTCACGCCGCCCTCGACTTGCACTATGAGAGCTCGACGTACTTCTGATTGAACCACAGCTGGGTGACAACGCCCAGCTGCGCTTTTATGGCCCCAAAGTGCTGCGGGCTATCGCTGATGACAACGACAGCCTTTTGCACGGTACTCCTTGTAACTTCAGCCGGCCGATCGATGAGCTTGCTTGCGTCGAGTTGTCGCGTACACGATATACCGAAGAGTGAGGTAGCGGGTGAGGTCGGGGTCTGAGCGCGGCGGAGCGTAAAGTACGAGTAGTCTTCGGCAGAGGCATGCGCGCCATCGCTCAGGGCCATGAAGGGCAGCAGCGACCAGTCGTTGTCTACTGCTGGGTCGGTTCCCTCTTCTGCCCCGAGCCATGTTTCCACTTCTGGGCCTCTGCGTTGAATAGTCAGCGATTCATTCGCATCAGATAGCCACAAAGGTATCGTAAGTTGCCCAGTATCCTTCCTCCGTCTCTTTCTGTACTCACACCTCTACTGGTAAAGGAGAAGCTTACCGCGCATGGTGGAAGTCCACGACGCAGACAAGTGGGTTGAGAGTCGCCATTGTCGTGCGATAGAAGTGCTATCGCATAGCATTCAGTTTAAATACAAACAAATGTTGTAGGGCCATAGGGGCCAGGCTCGCGTCCTCGAGTCGTTGCGGACGCGCTCAGAGCGGTGACGAAACAGCGGTCCCTCAATCAGCCTTATGGCGCTAGTGGAAAGCCTCGGCGATCTCCACCCGTTCCCGGGTTTGGGAGTACGCCCGAGATCCTCCGCCACGGATACCAGAGAAGATCTGGAGGACTTTCTGATCTCCCCTTTACATCATGCAGTCTTTATCTTGAGTACCTGCGATGCCAGGCCCGTTAGCGACGAATGCTGTCATCGCATTGAAATACAATATAATCAGACATGTTCATGAGTCAAAGTGAAGAATAACGTATGTTTGATAATATGATTTCACATTCCTACCTAGGTCGACCATAGCCTTCAATTCCTCCATAACATTCCTTTCGTGTACCAGCCATGGCGATCCAAATGACAAAGACAAGCCCATGCCCCATCTACCGCGCACCTTCATGTCACATAGGTCCAACAGACGAGACCTTGGGAATCATTGGGAACAGCAACTCCGCCTGCGCCAGGCAGATGATACGTCGAGCCTCGGCAACTGCATACTTTGTTGTCGTGGAGACTGAAAATTGTTGTAGCTCGAGATTGGTAGACATTATGTGTATTTAGCTGCCGTTGTTCTCCTCCTGTGCCGCCGCATCTACGTTGTGGTAGTCCAGGATTTCAGAGTACCTGTGTTGTGTTAGCTCCGTTTACGTGATGCACTGGGAGTACACGTACATCATGATTTTCCAGGTGTCGACGGGTAGATCTGCGTCGTTGAACGACCAGTCGAACTTCTCCTCCGCGACTGGCTCATCAGTCGGGTCGTGGTATGGAGCGAGGTATGGGTGGGCAAGGGCCTGCTCCGCTCGCACACGCTTCTTCGGGTCAAAGACCAACATGTTCTCTAGGAGATCGACGGCTAGATAATGTCAGTCCACGCTCTCTTCATTGAAGCTGCAAACTGACCTTGAGGCTCGGCGTTCTTGAACTTGTTGGAGAGGGGTTGTCGTTCGCGCTTGGGAAGTGACTGGACGAATCGCAGTGTCTGCGGAAATCAGCAAAGTTGCTTCCAAGGTTTTGTGCATCTACTTACGTTTTCACTGCAAATGGTCTGGATCACATCGTCTGGGGGAGTACCCAGAAGCTCGGTGATGATGGAGAACTGGTTCACGTGGTCCTTGCCGGGGAAGAGCGGCTTGCCCTCGAGCATCTCAGCGAAGATGCAGCCCGCACTCCAGATATCAACCTCGACGTCGTACTTTTGCCATGTGAGCATGATCTCAGGCGCTCGGTAGTATCGGGTAGAGACGTAACCCGTCATCTGAGGGTCCTGTA